ACAGAACCCAGCTAGAGGCCATGCAGCTTAATGCGCTGTCATCGCTGGGTTCCGGCCATGTTCGTTGTCATTGCTTTTAATTATTTTGCAAATTAATTTCCAAATTGGTAATTTTCTTCACATTTGCACATACACAAACACATACACACACTTTTCTAGTGAGCCGCCGCTTGCCAACGACAGTCCTAATGAGTTTTTATGTTGTGTGTAGCATCAACTGACGCTGTAATTGACTACAAGTTGGCCTATTTACAAACAGACGCCCCTGGCGTATGCTCACTCGTATATTGTCATCCAAAATTGGACGTATTTACAGAGTTGATGTCTGGTACTTAATTACTCTGATTTTATTAGGCTCAACTAAGCATTAAATTTCGTTCAGTTTGAAATCAATTTCAAATTTGATTTACTCAAAGTGGACATTTTTTTTTTAGGAGCGGAGCACTATTTCTGAGGCTTTAGTGGCTTGAACGAGAATTGAAAATGAGTAGAGTAATCAGGCAATCATTCAAATAGTTAGTTGATCAGTCAATTAGTCAGTCAGTGAGAGAAATAAACTAATGCAATGAACAGTCGATCAATCAGTCAGTCGGAAAATTAATAAGTCTATTGATCAGTCATTTAGTATAATAAACGGTCAACAAGTCAGTTATTCAAATAGTCAATCCGTCAGTCACTCAGTCAGTTGGTCGGTCCGCTGGTGCATTGATCGTCAATCTATGTCAGTCTATCTGAAAGTAAATATTTCAGTCTATCAGTCAGTCGATAGTTATTCAGTTCAGCAAACAGTCAATCCGTCAGCCACTCAATCGGTTGTTGAGTGAGTGAGTCAACCAGTCAGTCAGTTCGTAAGTCAGAAAATGAATCCAACAGTTTTTCCATATAACAATGAGTCACACACAGACACACATTTATTTCATCAATTATCAATCAATAAATCAATCAATCGATCTTAGCAAATGGTTTTATAATAAGATATATATCTATTGAATATTTAATCATATTTTTAGTAAAGTATAATTTAAGAACTTAGTTTTCCTTACGAATATCCTGCAAAATGAATACCTTTCAATATTACCTTGAATAATTAAACTTTTAATTACCTTTCCAGCTGATGGCATAATTATTTAATGTTATTCAGCTTCATCGGCGTATTTAATGATTCATATTATATTTTATTTACTATTCTGAAAATTACGTTCATAAATATAATATTATTTATGTTTTATTATCCATGCGATTGGTAATGATGTTGACGCACTGAATTAATGTTGAATGTGCCTCTGAAGAGTCGCTCTTGAAGTTAAATGAAGCGAATGCTTCACTCGCTGCGCTCATTTGATTTTTAATTAGAGTCTCTACACTTGGCCAGAGCTGAAGAGCTGAAGGGCGCGTAATTATTGTTTGGATAATGCGGAAATTGACAGACATGTCGTGTGATTTGAGTACAATTATAAATTTCTGACGTGTTATTAATTACGACAAATTATTTATTACACAATTTCCATAGGACTTTTTTAGATCAATCGGAGAAGTGGAGTATGTAGTAGTAGTTGGAGTGGTGACAACAGGCAACTGGCGGCAACTTAAGTCAATCGCTTGCCATTAGTAGCATTACTAGCTACACACGCCCACACATACAATGCGCAATACACACTCATGTGTGTGCGTGCTGGCGGCCTACGCCGCGTATGCGTAATTATTTGCTTTATGTTTGACGGACAAGCTGAGAGTCGCACTGAATGCGGGCTGGAGGGCAGCACTCGACACGCAGCTGCGCCTCGCACACGCACATACACACAGACACACACACAGGCACACGCACACCTAACAACACTTTTCCGTTAACAATTTCCGCTTTGCCACCCAAGTGGGTATTTGCAGCATTGAGTGTCAGCCAGTCAAAGGCAAAGTCCCAGCTGCTTCACAAGGAAGCACGCAAATTTTCTTCGTCTCCTCTTTTGGGGCGGCTGATTAGTGTTGATTGGCATTTCTCGCTTTGCTGCTCATCAATGCTAATTTTTTTTGTGTGCTGCTGCTTGCCTCGAATTTGTTGGGCTGCCACAAAGTTGTTGTTGCTGTGGTTGTTGTTGTTGCAACGAAAGCAGTTTGCAAATGAAGCGCAAGTGCTAAAGATTGATTGACGCAACATTTTGCGTTGGTGTTGGATAATGATGAAATGCTCGGCATTGGGCCAATCAATCGCCTGTCTACGATTACTATAACATAGAATTACAATCAATGACCACTATTTAATAAAGCAAAGTAATTAATGCGCTTAGCGAAACCAAACGTGGCCAAACAAACTCACGCACACACAAAAATATGAAACACAATAATTTTTTATGTTTTTTTTTTTCTGTTTTTGTTTTTGGCAATTTTGTGCCATGTCAACACTTACGGCTCGTTACGCACGGCTGAGCGACAGGGCCCGTAGCCAGATGCGGAACATGATGCTGATGATGTTGGCCATGGCTGATGAGCGTGGCTTAAATAAAGGGAAAAGCGTAAAATCAACAACAGCTACAGCTACAGCGAGGCCAAACAAAAGGCATGGAAAACGCAAACATCAACATTTTGCACAAATAATAACAAACATTTATGGCATGACGGCATAACTGTAACTACACACGTACAGCGCAGTATCAGTGTGTGTGTACGTGTGTGTGCGAGTGTGTGCCTGATATATATGACAACACATGTGCAACGTTGACAGCCATTTTAATGGAATATGCGCCAAAACAGCGCCAAACCCGAATGGTCAAAGAGACAAGCAGCAAATGTGTTTGCTAGATGGTTGGACAGCAAATATATAATCCCAGGCAGATTACAAAAACTCTATATATATATATTTATATTCAAAAATAAGTCAGACGTAAGCCCAAATGATATCCATTTATGGCTATTTGTGATATGCTTATATTTAATAAATGCCCAAAATATAATTATACATAATTAAAATAATTATCATGGCTGAAAGGGCTACACGAGCTATCGCTGGTTGAGTTGACGGTTCAGGACAACCACTAAAATAGATTAACAATTTTTTTGCAAAAGACAATTTGTTTTTTGGTTTTGGGTTCAGTCAATATTGAAAAAATGGGAATTACCGATTCGAACCAGTTCGGTTCCAGCTGGTTGCAGCCTTAAGTATTTTTTGTATTTTTATTTTATTTAATTCTTTTTATGGAAAATACACAGATGAACTTTCCTAAATAACGTTACTTAGTAATTAGGTTATTTAATTTTATTTTATTCTTTATTTTTTATTCTTTAGGGCTCATAACTTAATTAAACGAATATTTATAGCTATCTTTATATATCTATAGCTGCCTTAAGTTTTCAAATTTAGTTGTCTCTTGAAATATTGCATATGCATTTTTGTTTACTGACATTACTTATCTTACCCACTGTAGAAGATTCGGGCTTTCTATATTTGCTTAACTTTCATTTGTTTTATATATAAAGATATCTGTTTATTCTCTTTTTGCAATGTATATTCTTGCGAATGGTTCTTGATGTTTTGTTTAATTTTTTTGGGGGCCTTCTTTTTTGTATGTGAGTCATGCGTGGAGCACCTGCTGCTACCCGATTTCTGTGTTAATTCGTGCGTTGTGCCCAGGCGCGGTATCTACCCGTCGGTTGCCTCCATGACGCCTGTCAAAGCCGCCGGTACAACGCACATGTGAACAAACAGCAACCGGCAAGCGGGAACCGACAACCAGCAGAGTCGGCAAATTTAACAGGGTCTAAAGCACGATTCGTTGCCAAAACACGCACAAGAATCCCCCTGCCCTGGCTTTGCCCAACTCGCCTGCTCTATCTGGAGCCTGTCAGGCAAGCGCCACAATACTAGTTAGTCTGGGCTGTGGCTCTGTGTTTGCACAGGATATGAGCGCACTTGACATACGAAACAGGCTCTTGAAATAAATATTCTTCAGTTGTCACAATATTCACAAAAATTAAGAAGCTTGCAAACAGAAGCACAACTCCGAACATATATTTATTTTAGGGTACAGGCGAAAAATGTTTTGCTTGAAATTCTATTAAAATTAATTTTAAATATTTTTTATTTATCAGAAATATTTGTTTATATGCTGGATAAAATTGATTGAATTATTGAAATAGAATGCTACGGAACTGTTAATGTGATTGTTTCTATAATTAAAACAAGTGAGCTTCTTGTTCTATCGATTAGGTTGGCGTATATTCAAATGTTTAGTATTTAATATATATTTAAATATTTAAGAAAAGAAGCGAAAGCCTCTTAAAATTAGTTTATTTGCCAATTTAATGGAATTGGTGGAGATGTTAAAAATGTGAAGTATGTATACAGGCAGACAGTCGGGATCATCTAGGCTTGTCGTCCCAATCAAGAATATATATCCTCTATGAGGTCGGACACAATTGCACAGAACCATTTGACCATAATAATAATTGAAAAAGAGTTAGAAATATTAAGATATAATTATGAAAATAAAAGAAATTGAATTTAGAAGTCCATAAAATTGTATTTGACAAATCTTTAAGCGCTTAAACATAATCAATTGCTGAAGCTTATGCGAATTTTTAAAATCCGTTGAAAGCATTTATAAATGAGGTATATTTGCCTTCCAGTATCGACTGAAAAACTTGGATAACCCGGATTGAAGTGCATAAATTTCAATGTTCAACTATTTGAGCTGAAGTTAAGTCCGTGCAAATGGCTGCAACGCGATATATGTGAGAGAATTTGGTGCAAATCACTTGAAATTTTTCGCACCTCGCAGCTGACAGCTCATCCTACATTATATATATATATACACACACACACACACGCGTATATATATATATATACACAGAGCCAGTGAGACGCCAATTTACAGCTACTCAGACACTCTGAAAGTCATTGAGTTCTCTTTTCCATGTTGAGAGTTGGTTGTACGATTGCTTCTTGTTAGTGTTCGTTTTCGTTTTTATGCTTGCCCGCTGCGATTGACCAAGTTTTCAATTATTTACAGGTAATTTGGTTTAAAGACACCATGCAATTGGACACCACCGAGCGGCACATCATGGAGAATCGCGGCTCACGTCACACGCTGATTATACGCAAAGTGCATCCGCAGGACTTTGGCAACTACTCTTGCGTGGCTGAGAATCAGCTGGGCAAGTCACGCAAAACTCTGCAGCTGAGCGGAAAACCGAATGTTGCCGTTTTTAATTCACCGGCAATCAGTCAATACAAGGACAGGTAAGGCTTCACACCCCGCCTCAAATGTTCCGCCTGCCGTTCAATTGCCAGACAGACAGCCGGTCGTTGCAGACACGTGCCCGTCCACGTGGCTACGTGCCACACAGACACACACGCGCACTAGACAATTTGCGGAGGGCTTGACTTCATTTGAGTTGAGTTAACTTCAGTTCAATTGAGTTCAATCGCCCACACAGTAAGTTGAGCGCCTAATTAGCGCAGCATAGTGCTCAGATTTTCGCGGCGTATACGTCACAGGTCATTAAGTATACGCCAGCGAGCCGCACATTGAAAAAATTGTGTTGCATAAAAATACCAAATGTCAATTTTTCAGGCAGTTCAGAATACAGGGACAGCGGCTTTATTAGATTCATTTCGTTGAATGACACACGAACTGTGGCTACAGTCGGACAACTGGTCGTATACGTAACAAATAAAACTTTTAATTGGATTAGTTGTCATCAGAAGCATACACAGCCAGACAGACGCACACTCACACACATGGCTATGAGGACAAGCAGCCAAGCGACAAACAAGCTCACATCTCACTGTCACACACACACATACACAAATGTCACACACAGCAATTGACAAAGACATAGACAACAATTCAGATAGCTTTAGTCCCACCAAGCTGCCAGCTATTGGCATTGCCACCTTCCAATAATTCAACTTGAATTAAGTTCAATAAACTAGAAAAAAAATATATACATATATATATATATATATATATATATATTTATACATACAGATATTGCCATTCGAAATGTGCAAAATTGAAAATGCTAAGAAAAAAAGGTCGAGCACATCAAATAACTCGCACATAATATGAAATACCAAAGCCAATTTATGAAACTACAGTGACTGCTCGCAAATTGTTAGCTAAGAAATATGCAAGATTTCAGAAATGAGAAAAGCCATTTTTATGCAACTGAAACTTCAATTCGCAGCATTTTCATATATTTTGTCATGTTCATATATTATTTTTAATAAAATGTTGGATGTTATATAAGCCATAAAATTTAAGTTAAAAACATAAAGTTCATTTTAAGAAAGGCAGGCGTTTGTTTTCTTGTACGCAGATATTTTGAAGTTTTTGGAAGAAATAAAGAGGTTTCTTGAAAGCAAATATCCAATGTTCCAGAAATTTGAATAAATTTTAACCATCTACAATTTTAGTATATCCCTTACACAAATTTCATAAAAGAAAAGCATTTGTCTTATTTTAATTTGCTTACTAGTTCTTCGAGTGAAATTTCTTATAATAAATATTATTATAGTTTATTCTTAGTTAAATAGAATATAAATATGAAAAAGAAATGAAAACCCAAAATTCAAATTGCGAACATTTATTTAATTTATTAATATTTTTAATTTTAACTTTCAGGTTCGGAATAAATATTAAACATGGCACCTTATATTTAATTACCTTTGCAAATGCTACTTATTGTTTTTAACGAGCGCCAACTGTTATTCTTATATGGGCTAGCCGCATTGCGTTGCGCATACGCCCCGCATGACAAAGTTTTACTAGACAAATGCCCACATTGGCATTGGCAATGGGACCCTCAGAGAGAATAGCAATGGTTGTTTTTTTTTTTTTTTTGAGGAGAGATACTGAATGGGATTTGGTTTGTCAACACGACGCTGATTTCATTTTGGTGCCTGCGCCGGAAACTGCTGCCGGCAATTAAGGCCGGCAAATTGTTGGCCCGTGGAGTCAGAGACGGCAGTGAGGGGGCGAGCACAGTCGGCGCCTGGCGCCAGTCGCTGCCTCTTCAATTGTTCATAATCATTTTTATTGCCTGCCTTACTTTGATGCTATATGCGAAAAGTTGCTCTGATTGGGGTTTTATGTTTTTATTGTGCGCAGGACTTCAGGTTATTAGTTCATGTGGCTCAATAAGCATGCAAAAAAGAATAAGAAAACACACACACAACCCGCAGAAAAAAAAGTAAATATATAAAAATAAAATTACGTACATTGAAGCCAAAATAAATGCCAAACACAAGCAAAGTTACAAGCACAAATGGCAGCCGCTTTGGCATTTGGATAAGTTCGCTTGTTTATGGCCTTTAACTCGTCCCCTTCCTCGTCCCTGTTCCCAAAGTCCGATTCCTTCGCGCGCTCAACTGATTAGCATTCAAATTGTGTGCCGAGTTTATCGCAAAGCAATGAACTAGCGCCTTAGTAATGTGGATGCGCAAGGGAATGGGAATGCGAAGGGGAATGTAGTATTGGTTATGGAACAAGGACAACAAGGACGAAGCGCTTGCTTGTAATTAGTTGTTTACTTGAACGCTGCCTGAATAGTTTCGCCTCTCGATTACCGCCATAAATACAGCCGAAGTCTGACGGCAATTGTTGTTGTTGTTGCTGTTGTTGTATATATAAATGCGTTTGTTAATGAGCCGTTCGCTTAAAGCTGAAGACAAATGGTAGTTAACTTAAAGCTAAGGCCAATGGCCAAAACTGCATTTGGCTGTGTGTGGCCAGTGTCTGGCAGTGGGCGTGGCATGCTGTTAGCTTTTCGGTTGAACGAACGAAACGCATTGTGCTATGAGCGAAGGACAAACAAAGGGCCAATAACAAAAGTAGAGAGTGGAGCAACAACAGCAGCAACAGGGACTACAGCAACAACAAGAACAACTTTATGTGCGGTATCTTAACCCCAGCCATTGTCAGCATTGATTATGTTTCTGTTGTCGCAGCAATTGTTGTTGTTGTTGCTGCTGCTGCTGCTGTTGATGTTGATGTTGATGTTGCGTGCTGCCCGCCTGACTGCAGCAACATGGCTTCATATCAAATTTAACAATTACATATTGATTGAGTTCGCCTTAAAAATAAATCTGGCGTCAACTGTTGCACGCAACCAGCAACTAACTATCTCTCCCACGCCTTTTTCTCTCTCTCTCTCTCTCTTTGCTGCTGCTGATGCAATATGTGTAGATACAACATCTCGTGGGCGGTCGACTCGCATTCACCCATCGAGGAGTACAAGTTGTCCTTCCGCAAGCTGCCACAAGGACATGAGGTCGTTGACAATGCCATTGACTCGCAATCCTCGTCGTCATCGTCCTCATCCTCCTCCTCCTCGTCTTATGGCGCTGCCAGCCACAATCATCGCATTGGCAGCAACTTGGCCAACTATGGCGGCTATGGCAATCTGATGCGCTGGGGCCACAACGATTGGCGCGATGTGGTGCTGCCCGCCGTTCCACTGTCACACCACTATGCGCAGGGCATGAGCTACATGGTACGCGGACTGGATCCCGATCAGCAGTATGAGGCCACAGTGCAGTCCCGGTAAGTAGCACAACTTAAGTAAGCAATCTCTAAAGCGAATGCTGGGTCGCAATGAGACATGAAAATATATCTCTGGGATTCCCATTATAACATACGCTTTCAATTATATTGCAGATTTGAGGTTTATTCGTTTACTATAGCTAAGCTTGGTTGAAAAATCTGAGAAAAAATTCACCAAATATTCAAAAACAAAACCTTTATAATTTAATTTAAAAAACATGTATGATTGATTGCATGATTGTTCCTATAAACTTCTTAAATTATTAAAGTCAGAAACTTGTAATTGAATGACCAAACACATTTCAGAAAACATTTCCATACATAAGCTTTGTTTTTACCGATTCATGATATTGGAGAACGATTTGAATAGGATTTTGCGCATATGTGAACAGGATGTTACAACTCGTGAAAACCAAGTTTAGTCAAGATACCTTTAAAAATAAAAAAGTTTTTCCGATTTATGTGCTGCTTTCAACAGAGGGAGGGACCTATGGAAAGTTGCAAAGAGACAGATGGGCAGAAAGTTATGGGTAGATAGATGCTGACCACAAATATATATATTTAATGAACCAATAGTTCACCTTAAACTTACAAAACAAACCCAGATGGCATTAAAAGGCAAAGTTCGCTATGTGCCAAAGTTTTTCAGTGCGATTCGTTAGCGTGCAGCACACATGTTGCATAGTTGCATATATATGACACACAATTAATTGTGGCAGCTGCAGCAGCAACAACATTAATTCGTGTTAAATTGTTGTCTATTCACAGCAATCGCTATGGATGGAGCGACTTGACCAACAGCTTCTACTTTTCCACATCGTCAAATGGTAAGTGCTCCCCGCTCTTGGATTATATAATTATATATATATTATAGTACATAAAGCATATAAATATGCCATAAATATGTTTAAATAGCGTATCAAATTTTAAGCCTGGCGCATGCCTGCTGCTCTGTGTGTGTGTGTAATAAGCTGCTCACACACACACGCACATAGAGGCATGCTTATGCATGCGCCTGGCACTTATGCTTCTCTTTTTGTATTATTATTTTCAAGCTTCTGTTGTGATATTTTTTGTTTTTTACTGACTGCATGCATAATAATTTGGTATTAAGTGCTACTTCCAATGATAATCCAGAAAAATCATAGTGCCGCGTCATGAAAATCGCTTTACACGCAGCGCAACATCCCCCCACAGCCCAGCCCGCTATTCAACAACGGCAAAAACGCTGTAATTTGTTGAAATTGAACGCATTAAAATATATATTAAAAATTTTTTTGTAAGACATGAGCAATTAATTGTTGCATTAATTCTGGCGCACACTCATGAATATAATTTTTCGCACCTATATTAAGCATACGCACTGTAGTCTTTTGCCACAATTGATCGACTAATTGCAAAGACCGCCACGTTGCTAGTTTGACTTTGCATAATGAGCGTGAAAAATCAAATAAGTACATACACGCACAATCACACACGCGCGTAGACATGCAAAGCACTAATTGGATGCGCGCACACACATTTCTTAAGAGTTGTCGTTGCGGTTATAAATAAACAAAGATGTGCGACGTCGATTGGGTTTTGCGTTGGGCAGACAGGCAGCGACTCAGGTGGCAGGTGGCATGCAGGTGGATCGCATTTAAATGCGCAAACGAAAACCATTTATATGCAAAACTATTGTTGCATTGCATACTGAATGAATGCCGCATTGGCAGAGCATGAAGCAGCCAGGCAGCCAGGCAGCGCGGCGGCAAGTCGCATAAAATGTAGCGCGCGCGCTTGGCTAACCGTTTTACCCCATGCAAATGACGCATATTTACCCGTGCGCCGGAGCCACTGGCAGCAGCAGCAGCAGCGGCAGAAGCGGCAGCTACCCCCCAATCTACCAGCTACATCTTTTGACTGCGAAATGCATGCAAATGCGAACGCAGCGCCCGGCATTCAATGACGTCGACTGGCAAACAAACGAATAAATATGCAGACAGGCCAAGAGAAATGCGCAATAAACACGCACACACACAGCGAGAAAGAGAGAGAGAGAGAGAGAGAGAGAGCGTGAGTAAGAGGAGCGCGGCGAGAAGCGAGTCAGAGACTGCCATAGAGGGAGGACAAAGCGATACTGTGAAATTAAATCAAGTAAAACGTGCATGCCACACACTCAACCCGACACACACAAACACACACACACACAGCTGCAGTATCGATGTCACTTGTGCAAAACGTCTTTTGCTTTTGACAGGTGCACACATACACAGACAACCAACTGCAAACGACTTCATTACGCTCTATTGTGAGGCGCAGTGAGTTCTTGCAACTGCTGCATTGCAACGCAGCGTTTTGTGGCAAGTCATTGGCGTGCATTGTGCTAATGGAAATGACTTCATTATATTTTCGAAACGTAAACAATCTACGCAATTAGCGGCAGGACATGCAATGCAGCAGCGGCAACAGCAGCAGCAGCAGCAGCGGCAACAGCAGCAGCAACGGCTGCCACCTGGCAATCGTGGCAAGCGCCAACTAATGAGCCCAGAGTGTCATAACTACAGCAACAACCGCAACAACAACCACTGGCAGAGCGGTTATGACCACAATGTCAACAACAATGGCAACCATTGCCGACAACAACAACAGCAACAACAACAGCTAAGCACAACAAGCACACTCGAGCCAACTGTAGCAAGGACGTGCACGCGCGCACAACACACACTCACACACACTCACACGCACACACAAACAGATATTAGCAGTTCATTTACCTGGACGACGTGCTCTGCAAGTCGACCAGCTTGGACAACAGCAGCTAAGGGCAACAGCAGCAGCAATTGCTCTTGCCGTTTTTACTGCTCCTGGTGCTGCTGCCCCAACTCGTGGCACTTCGGCTGGCCATGCCACTAAAAGAAAACGCCAACTGAGTGCCGTTGCAGATACAACACAATAACAAAAAACAACAGCAACCAACGCTCATATATGCGCTCGAGTGGAGTCACAAACATATTTACATACTGTCTATGCTGGAGTGTGAACGTGTTTCTTTGTGTGTGTGTGTGTGTGTGTGTGAATACTCGTTGGGAGTGAAGCAATTGCGAATTACATTTTTGCAAACCAAAATAGAATTGCGGTGCGACAGGTCAACAATTTGGCCAAGTCAATTGACAGCAACAAGTCAAACGAGAGGGGAATAATTTACACATTTTCATACTTGCTCCCAAATTGAAGAAGAGTGATTTTGTCCTCTGTCCTATGGAATCTTAAGACTTATATATATTGCACTCTCGTAATCGCGCGTCAGTTAGTGTTCAGATTATCTGGCTACGCGCGCTGTGGGCGTGGCAAATCGTGTGCGTGGACAAAACTCGATAACTCCTGATAAATGTGGCCTGTTTGAATTTTTCAAATGCTAACGAGTTGTATTCAGTCGAATGAAGCTTCGCGATATGTATAAGATATGGGTTTCACATATTTTTAAAATGCACGCTATATAAAGCTATCGCTGAACAGAAATATTTCGCTCCTGTGAAAGTTTGCTTTTACTATCCTTAGTTTAATAGATATTATATTTTTATATAATCTCATTTTATTCCCTTTTTGTATACGAAGTTTTGTCTTGATACAATACAAGACCTAATGCGTATATCCATCTAACACGAAATTAAATTGCAAACACTTTAAGCTCCAATCTAAAAAAATCACTTATATTTTATTTCTTCTTATATACATATATTTCATGACTTTAAGCTCTTGGCAAAAAAAAAAAATTCATTTAAAGTCCATCGAGCAGGGCTGCTCGAAACAAACGAATTTAAGCACGAATAGAAACAAATTTATGTTATATTAAAAACAAATACCATTTGTGTAAATTTAATCCATATAATATTATTATTTTACTTTTATTTAAAAAAGAATTCTGTGTGAGTTTTGTTTTCATCAGTTTATTTTCAATGTCTTAGATCAGCATAGTTTGCTAACTGAATTACCAAAAAATATCTCGATATCCCTCAGTAAAATTCCACAATTTAAGTATACAATATTTTGAAATGTGTCAATTGATGGCCTTCGAGAACAATTGAGAACGCAAGCATATATATGACTATGACTATTATGGGAGCCCATAGAGCATATTCAATTCGATTTTTCGCAGACACGTTGGCAGCATTCAGCACGCCCTTTAAGGGCATTTAATTTTTATCACACTTTTTTAATGTACTTGCCGAGCTGGACTATTTTCATGGCTATAACTGTTGTTCTTATTGTTGTTGTTGTAGCTGTCATCATTTCGCTGCGTAGCGCATAAAAGAGACAGCAATTGAGTCGACTGAGGTATGCAACTATTTACACACACACACAGACACATAGTTAACGTTAGATACTCACGCTTAGCCAGGCTTAGCTTTTCCTCTGTGCGTGTGTTTGTGAGTGTCGTGGGGTCAGGCTGGGCTGTGTATTGGAGTGGGGTCAACACTCCTAACAGCACATGGAGACATAAAAAATAATGCATTTTGTGCACGCGAAAAAATACTCGACATAAAGCAAAAAAATAAAAAAATAAAGAGGAGGCAAAAGAAAAAAGCGAAGTTAAATAAAATTACAACATAAAGTAAGGCAACGAGTGTTGTGTGTGACTGTGTGTGTCAGTGTGTAGACAGGCGATGGGCGGGTGGGGGTGGTGCCAAGCAGCTAGCGAATACCAGAAGAAATATCCAAAAATGAAAGACTCGTTGAAAGTTGCGTAAAACTTGCTGAAACTGCCAACTGAGGACCAGTCAGCAATAGCTAAAGCAATGGCAATAGCAATACCAGCTACAGCAACAACAATAACAACAACAGCAGCAACAACAGCAACAACAACAGCAACAGGGCGACGCATTCAAAGGATGACAAAGTGGACCCTTATACTAGGATGAGGACGCGACTGTCGTCTGCTCAGCGCAGCTCAAACTTTCAATTTACTTGTCCAATGTCTTGCTATCTCTGTTACTCCACTGTCAAACTCCCCTCCCCTACCGCCTCGCTCTATCATATTGCTTTTGCCTGTATGTGTGTGTGTTGGCAGCTTTTGTGTTGCCGCTGGGAATGCTTTAGCAAAGGCCCCAAACAACTGCAGCAACAACGTTTTTTTTTTCAGCTTGCATGTAAGTTGCAAAGTTTGCCAAGGCGCACACACACCAATACACACACACAGCGTAATAAGCACAGGCCAGAGCAACAAAAAAAAAACTATATAAAAATGTACATATATAAAATATATTATGTATATACACGCGCTGTTGCAAGTTGTGTAATGCGAATGCTGAACGTGAATGTTATGTTTATGTAAAGTGCTGCTTCCAGAATGCTGCGCGAGCGGGAGGGTTGGGTGTGTGGCAAGGCAGGGTCGAGGGGCGACACGATGCTGTTGCTGAAGTTTGCCGCAAGTGGTGCGCGAATATACAAAAGATATGAAACTGCATTATAATAAGTAACACACACACAAATACACACGCACACACCCAGACAAACACATGCACAAACACGCGCGCACATACACAGCTGGGACAAGCTTTAAGTCCGGCTTTAGATGGCCGTTAGCTCACATCCCCGCTCCAACATGACCCCAAGTCAACTAAAATTCTGCTTCTGCCACAAGTAAAAAATTACAACAACAATTGCCAACTAGCTGCCTGCCACAATGCACTGGAAATCCGCATTTAGCAGCGCCCCCCAAACACGCGCAAAATCCGTGCAATCGCCGCACCACAACAATTGCAGAAACTATTCGAGCTAAATTCGAGTACGAATGAGCTTGCGAGTGGCCACAATGTAGGCAAATCTAGCTGCGTTTTTCACTGCGAGAATTTTAAGAAAATCAGCTGAACCTAGCTAAGTTTAGGAGAAATATAAAAATATTTTTTGAATCGAAATATCTGCCCTTATATTTATTGCCCAGCAATGCTCGGGCGCAGTTTTTATTGTGCTTAAATTATTAGATATTACAAATTTAATATAATTTAATATAACTTACATAGTTCATTTGATGTTGATCGTGGGAAACTTGAAGGTGCGGATTTCGCGAAAATTATAAAATCAATTTCATGAAAATATTTAGAAATAAGTTTAGAGTCTAAATTTCACTCACGCGGAGTGAATTTAGCGAAAAGTGTGCAACGCTTATCAAATGCATTTTTATTAAATTGCTTGGAAATGAGTTTGCCCACCTAAGCTTTGAACCACAGCATGGAGAGGCGACACCTATGGGTGGAATTCCCAAAAAGGCCATCTTACCGTTCACTTAAGTACATTAACGAACGATTTCCGCGGTGTGTTGATAGGTCATTAAATTTTATTTCTAATCCTAATTGAAGTTAAAAACAACCCAATATTTTCTTCAAGTGTAGCCGGATACCCTCTGACTGATGTATGCCCAGCTTTTGGCAATTCTTCCTCACAGTTCGTGTAGTAAACTCCTTGTTGCTGTTGTTTTTGTTGTTGTTGCTGCGGCAAATGCAAATGCGTAGCCGCGCCCCTCACTTACCTACACGACCAGCCCCCCCCCCCTCCCTTCACTCTCAACAAAAAAACCTCTCGAAAAAACAGAAACAAAACGTGAAAAAAAATTGTTTAGCGCTTTAAAATCGGATTTTGCTGATGCACCTATCAGCTCACAACTGTAAGTGTGGGTGTGTGCTAGTGTGTGTATTTGTCGCCGGACCGCAATGCTATTACATGAATAGTGCATTCGTCCGGCGCCGGGTGGAGCAGTTCGAGCACAAAAACCCATTTCACAACCCAAGCGAACCATAGCGAACCGATGCTGCGGCAGGTGCTGAAATGCGGTGAATGCAACGTTGCAGCGTGGGGCGTCCAGTGTCGCTTGTTTAGCGAAACGCGAAACCTGCAACGTGCAACGCACAACACGAAATCACAAGTGACGTTATGGTTTTGTGCCACCAAACCGCAGGCAATAAAAGACGCAATGACAGTCGATGGCAGTGACAGAACTAGCAACAGCGGCCACATTAGCTCCACTAGCACAGTCACGCGCACACACACGCGCACACACACTCACTCACGTGTGTCTGTTTTCATTACAAAAATTGTTAGCATTTCGCTGGCGCCGCAATTGACAATTTGCCCATAGTTTATGTGTAGGGTATGCGAGTTTATATGGTAATTCGATGTGTTGCCCATTTTTCCAAGCCGCTTTATGTGGCTGCCACTAAATGGGAGGGGGCAGCAATGAATTCAGGGCGTGGCACAGTTGAATTTATAGCAATGTGCAACAGCATTCCTAAATTGAACGTGTCATGTTTTGAGGCGCTGGCAGCACAGATGCCTCAATAGATTAGCTGTCCTGTTAGCTAGCACATGTGCAACATGCAACACACACAGGCACGCAGACTTACAGACAGCTTGCAACATCCGCTGTCCGGCACACTGTCCGTTGTTGGGTGTCTATTAAAAGTGTCAGCAAACGACTTGAACATGTGCGCCGCAGCAAATGAGAACACGTCAAGGATGTCACTAGCTGCCGGTGCTAAGGCCAGACTCCTGCCGCTCGGCTTCACTCTGCTGCTCGATGCCAGGGACGCTTCTGACAGCCACATTCAATTCGTTGTAGCTGCTGCATGAGATTTGTATGTTTTAGATAATGTCGAACCAGTCGGGCCCGACGACCATACAGGCTCATCAAATATGAATAAGTTTTGAGCGCCCATCCCAGAGATAGCTCTCTTTGACAGCTGTCGTGTAACAGTTTTTCAATAAGCACACACACAGACACACTTAAACATACGTAGATGTACTATGGGACAAATTGAAATGTTTTCCTTCAGAGGCTAAGAGGCTGCTCAGTTTGCTCAGGCTGCAATCTAGTTTCGATCCGAACCGATTTGAATAACTCAAAGGCGCTACACTTGCGTATGCTCCCACTACAATTGAACCGGTTCGTACACTCCGAGCCTTTGAGCCTTTCGGTTCTTTAGGCCCTTAGCCCTAGTAGGCTGTAATATAGCTATCTGCTGAACGGTTCGAAACTAAACTAACTACTAAGCGAACCTTTCACAAAATGAGGCAAATTGAATCACGAACCGACACATATATTTTCAAACAAGAAATTGATTTAAAATTAAAGAACCAGTTCCAAACCGTTATATGATTCCAAATGAACCAAACCGTATCGAAAACAAGGTAACCGTAAACCGAACCAATATAAATTTTTCTTTTTTTTTTTCGTGAGGAGGGGGGGATTTGCAGTCATGACTTAAGCCAAAACGGTGTTATTTCACCCAGTTCAGTTTGCCTGCCATATCTTGTTAATTGCCCACTGTGCATTGACTGCCAACTGGAGCTGAACCGGATTGGAGTTTCATTATAAACCAGCAGCCGGACTGGGCAAAGCTCAGCGTTGCCTTGGCTATTGAGCGCATTCATTTAACCTGGCCAGCCTCCTGCCGTGCGCTGCCTGCGCTTGACTTTATCGCTTGGTTTCTTTCACTTCTGCGCGGCTGAGCAGCCAATGCGCCAGCAATTGCAATTGCCATCGAAGCTGAAGCCTAGCCGGCGGAGGAATCTGGGATGATTCTGGGCCTGGCTTTAATGGCGAAATGTTCATTTGTCATTATTGACAGATGTCGCACGTTTGCCATTTTAATTGGCGGCTCAAACAAAATGAGCTGCACACGCCCCCGCCAACATTTCCAGCTGTCCATACAGTCAGCTCTTCCGCTGCCCCGCCGTCCCACAGTCCTTGGCTGCTTCCATGCAATCGCGCCTGAGCGGGCAAAGTAAACTTCTTTTTTTTATCCAGATTGGGCAATGCAGTCAAAATCGATAATGATTTATTTGCGGCCATGGATTTGATTTTAAAGCCCGCTCGCTTTCGCCGTTTATTTTTTGTTACTTTTGGTTTCTTAAATACGCACAACTACTACTGCTATCGCAACCATCGCAACTATCGTTCTACTTATCAAATATGACTGATCCCACACACATGTCAATTGCAGATGTGCTTGTCGATTTGTCCACATTCTTAAATCACGGTCAGTCAGGTTAGTTTTCGCTTGCCTATCTCTACTTAACTATTTCTCTCTCTAACTCTCTCTCTCTCTCTCTCAATGCTTAACTTTTGCTCTACTAAGCGCTCCCTCTTTCTCTCTGTTTTTTGATTTGCATGTTTATATCTGCATGTTTTTTGTTTAATATGCATTCTCTTTATAAAAAACGCAATATTTGTGATAAGCCCACAGCTTCTAAAAAGTAAATAAATATATAAAAGTCTCAAAAAAATAGCAAATATATGTATATATGTGTGTGTTTATATGTGTTTGTAAATGCCGTTTACCAAGCATTTTGTGGCAACCATTTAATTCTTTTTCTGTTCAATTTGCAAGGCTTCTCCGTTAAAAAAAATTTATAAAAAATAATAACAAAAAGCGCTCTAAAAGGATAACACGAATAATTCGTTGCACATGTGTTTGTGTGTGTGTGTGTATGTGTGTTTGTGTCTGTTTTTATTATTTTTAAGAGCCCATTGGCAACATTTGAAAAGTTGCAACCTGCATGAGTCATGGCATTTCTTTTATAGCTGCAATATTGAAAATATATACACGCCCACACTCACTCACACACCCATGCGTACAATTTGATAGAGATAACTGCATATACGAACTAATGATTGAATTTGCTTTGTCCATGGATTTATTGAAATATATTTTTGGAATACACTTAAACTATAAATGGAGGCAGCAATTAAAAGCAAATCGATTTATGTTATTTACGAACATTTTTCATTGCAGATAACGAGATGCGGGATCTGAGTGTTACCTTCTATGGCAGCGGTGCGGTCAATCGACAGAAACTGAGTCTGGTAACACTGAGCGGCGTTACGCTAATGCTTAAACTAATCATGGCTTAGACCCATCGCAATAGCTCTAATTGGATTTAAGTAACGAATTTCACCGCCAATAGCATTACAAATTGAACGAGTTTTTGGTTTGTTTTGGATTACTTACTGAATGGCAGCCGAACGGGCAGTGGGCCAGATTGAAGAAAAAAGAAAGGAAGAAACAAAAAAACAGCTCTAGTTGTAACTAGCTTAAGACATGCAACATTTTCTCAAACTAAACTCAACTCTCAATTTTAAAAATTCTCAGAACATTTCAAACATTAAACGAAAAACAATTTAAAAACTAAAGAGCAAGAAATGGAACCATATAAGTATATATACATATACTACGATACAATCAATGTAATAGCGTAAGCAACTGTGCATACAACATATGCATACACTCACACTCACAAACACATACACACACATTAAAATGGATACATAAAAAAAATATCTCAACATTTCAGCACTCAAAACTCCAGTGTACATAGATTTTATTGCATACTCTTAGGTGTAGGCAAAAAACTGCACTAAAGAAGCAAGTGAGGGAAAGAGGAAGCGATAGGAAGCTAAATGAATTATGATATAAAGATACAGTACAACAAAAAGATACACACTCACACAGACACACACACATAGTTGTATTTAAAATAATAGCATTGCTTGAGTGTCTGCGTATCTTGTATCTAGTATCAAGTATCTTGTATCTAGCATTTAGTTATTGTATGTGTTAATTAAATTAACATGCCAGTGCTTAGCCAATTATTCGTACTCAAACAAAATGCATCCAAATAAAGTATAAAAAGTGAAATGAGTGTGTATTTATTTGCACATATTTAGATGAAATACCAATAAGTTTGTATTTCAATTCCAATATGATAAAGCAAGTCGCAGTTTTTTCTAGCTTTTTGCTATTTTGATGTCTGTAGAACTAAGTAGCATAAATAACAGCAGATAAATTAATAAGCTTTGATTTCTACATGTAAATTACATAAATACACGTACACACAAACACATACACACACACATACCCAACACAAATTCACAAACACACATAGTCTATAAATTACTGCTTTGTATTGCATAAGTGTAAATAATTAGAATTGATATCGGACAAGAGCAGCTTAAAAGGCCAAGTAGCAATCCAATTGAGTAGCGGCAAGTGCTACCTGCATCTTATGGATACATATACAAATATTAATTATACAAATAAATATATATTAGCAAATTTATTCCGTAACGCATTCGACTTGAACACCGTAAACAGGGTGCGGCCCAGGTTGTTTTTCTTCCAATTTTCCAACATTGTTTTCTTTTGTATATAAGCTGCACGAAGATAATTCCCATTAAATAAGAACTATATATATATATATATATATATACATATATAAATCGCACACACAAAATGTTGCAAAAGGCACTGTTTGTTCGCAGCACCCTGTATTATAATTTTTAGAAAATTTTCAAAGCTAGGCAAAATATTTCATCTAGTCAAATGCAGTAAGTACATCATAAGAATACAAGTCATGGTTAATTTAAAGCAGCTGTTGCTTAAAAAAATATTGATAAAAAAACATAAGATTATATGTAAACACGCAAGTCGATTTACAAATAAAAATAAATAAACAATTTACTCAAAACAGCTTTTAATTAATAACAGTCATTTGCCCAAACGAACGGCTGCAGATAAAAAAAATAAAAAAAATGAAAACAAAAAATGGAAATCAGAAAAAGAAAAACAAAATCTTAAAACGGTATTAAAAAATTGTATGTTTAATTCAAACTCATGGCCAAATGCAGAAACAGCAAGGCAAACGTATTTATAATTATATTAAAATAGTGCGTCACACATACATATGCATATGGTATACTATATACAAAAGATATGCAGCAATGAAAAATGACATTAAAATATTCAAACAAAGACACTTTTCGCCATTAAATAAAATATATACGTATGCGATTTTGTTTAAGTGAAATTGTCCACGCCCCACTTAGCCCTATCCCGCCCCCATTCCAACCCCCTCCAATTGCTTAGAGTCCAATATTGATATAATGATCTTCTAGTATGTATATGTATACGTGTGTTTGTATGTGTAATTTAATATATATATATATATATACATTTAGTTATATAATTGTATTAAGTTAATGAAAAAACCAAGAAAAAAACGACAAAAAAATTGTGTACAATTTTTCTTTTCGATTAACAGATTCTCAGATCCATTGTGCGATGAGTAAATATAACCCACAACAACAACAAAAAAACGAAACATTTTCTGCATTCAATGTGACTAGATACGTACTCATATGTATATGTAATATGTATATTTGATTATTTTGTAAACATTTTTCAAACAACAACTACATATAAATAAAGTCTATATGAACATATAAATGTAGATGGCAGCCCTATTTTATCTGAAGAAAGCGCATACTACGTATGACAATGGGTTGTGAAGGGGTAAACAGGGTATAATGGTTTTGGTCACATTTATGTAACAGGCAGAAGGAAGCATCGTCGATCCCATAAAGTATATATATTCTTGATTAGCATCAATAGCCGTGTCGATCTAGCCATGTCCGTCTGTCTGTCCATCTGTCCGTCCATCCGTATAACCGTACGTAAGTATAAAGGAGCTAAGGACTTTGATCGTGCTTCCAAGCAATCGATAATAATCGATATCAAAATTCTGTTTTTTAACAAATCTGAGGTTTTAAGAGCTGGAGTCACCAAATTTATTATGAAGCTCCACAAAAGTATTGCAGATCAATATTCTTTCATTTTATAGCTTACTCAATTTACTGCCATTAGTAAGTATTATTATTATCATTATTATTACTATTATTATTATTCTTATTACTATTATTATTATTCTTATTATAATTATTATTATTATTATTATTATTATTCTTATTACTATTATTATTATTCTTATTATTATTATTATTATTATTATTATTATTATTTTTATTATTATTATTATTATTATTATTATTATTAATATTTTTATTATTATTATTATTATTATTATTATTATTATTATTATAATTATTATTATCATTATAAATATGATTTAATTGAAGTTGTTATATTTTATATATTCGCTTAATCTTACTATCAATCTAAGTAAGCGCACATATGGTGTTATTTAATTATAATATCCAGCAAAGAGATACGGAGATACAAAGAGATTGCGTCTCATACAAAAAGTATTATGGTTTTTTTTTCTGCAGCTGAGGCAAAGCTGTAGAGAGCTCGACAGAATCTACCTCTGTTTCTTTACTACAATTTCTATAGCATTCGTGTTGAGGGGCGCCAAGTCTGAGAATCAGGCAGTGCGAGATGAAAACTTACCTTCCTTTATTTACACAAAATCTTTAGTAGATGGCTCAACTTTTTTGTGCCATGCTCCGCAACAGGCGGAGTGGAAGCCAAGCTGAGCCAGGGCAGACCCAGGCGTTATGGAAATGGGCAAATAGAAAAGTTTGCATGCAGAAATCTTGTCCGCTGCACTGAGGGATCGGGGTGCGGGCGAGCGTGTCAACTGATGGGCAAGGCTATAGAGGGACAGACATAACTTTAAATGGAAAATTTGACAGGCGAATATAACGGTTATTTAAATATGACCACATAAATGTATAGGTAAGGGCGGTTGGGGTGTATTTGGGATGTCAGCTGTTGACAATGGACAGGCTAGATGCCAGGCAGGTGTAATATTTGCATAATACACGCACACACACACATCTGGCACACACAAACTAAAACTCTGGCAGTTAAAATTGAAAAGTTGGTCGAACAAGTTGCAAATATCAAAATAAAACACACGGCACAAAACCTACAAATGGCCTTAACAAATTCTGTTGGCATAATATTATTGCCGGGCTAATTTGAGTCCAAAGCCTGACGGGTGGCAGGTTGCCCTGCTGCAAGGTGCAAATGGCCTAAAATAGCAGCTGCTCCAAAAAGTAGGCAACCCGAAACGTACAACAAGTTGCACCTGAACCCAAAAGCCTACGTGCCGCAGCGTGAACTGAAAGCGAATGCGAGAATGGAATGCAAAAACATGCCAACGTCATGTCACATACACAGTATGTGTGTATATGTACGTGTATATGTGTGTGTGCGTGCGTGTGTACACCTCATTTCCGGGCATTGTTTTTTGAGCCAGGCAGCTGGCGTTGGGCTTGTTGTTGGCTGCAGCTGGGCTGTTTTTGCGTTATGAGCTACTTGTTGTCCCCACGCGCTGCCAAACACACAAATACACACACACACACAGCTAGTGCATGTGTGTGTGCGGCATAGAGTCCTTTTGCCGCTTCTAATGCATTATGGCAACACGAACGCCACTCGACTGCTTTGTGTGCGTGTATGTGTTTGTGTTTTGCACAGTCTAAAATATCACTGGCTGCATTGCACAACAAACACACACCCGCATCCGCACAGTCTGCGTGTGTCCGACCACTACATAAATATTTGCATATAAAATTTATTATGCTAAAAATAAGCCAAGATTTAAAAGAGAGGCGAAATAAGGCCAACATTGGAGCTGCATAATGAAACCAGACGCAGCCCAGCAACAAATGTCATGACAACCCTCAGCCAAGCTCCCTAAGCCACCCCCCGCAGCCCGCCAAGCAACCTGCCATATCAGCCACATTCACACCTCGTCGGCTGAAGCCTATTTATGTGACACGCCAGTCGAGGTTGTCGTCGTCTTCCTTGCAATTTAAGACCCTTTGTGGGCCGGAAGTGGGTCACATATGCACCCAAGCCGCAGCTGCAGCTCTAGGCCAAGACAAAGACCACGCCTGCCAGTAATTAGGAACGCGACGATAAGTCCCCACACCTCCCCCACTTCCCTTCACAGCACCATACTCCCTCCCTACCTTTGCATCCATTCTGAATGGGCACAACATTTGTGCTACTCGAGTGCCTTCACTCGACTCATGTATTTGTGCTCATATTTCTGTGGTTCGCGCAATTTCAGCATAAATTAACTTAAACTTTAAGCGGCTTTTGAGTCAGAATCCCCGCCAGCTGCCAGCTTGTTAAGTGTTCAGCCTAAGACGCTCGTAATGCGTTTATCGAGAGCGCAAAATAGTTGCATGCTTTTAGGCGCACGACCACAAAAAATAGAAAGCGACGAAGCAAGAGCTTTGAGCTTGCCAAACCCAAAGAATATATTTGAAAAAAAAAACAAAGGAAAGAAACCAAAGAATGTATACTCGTGTCTCCTGCTCGTTTTCTAATATAGTTCCAGTGGGTATTGACCAACCCTGCCCGTGGCACGTATAAAATAGATTCTCTCAAAGATCATTGATAATGAGTTTAAAAACTCTCGGACGGTAAACAAAAACCTTTCATACAATCGTTTTCCGCCAATTTACCACTGTTGCGAGTGAAATTGCCCATATCGCTAAAACAAGTATTTATTAAGTTCTTATATGGAACTTTGAAAATGAGTATGAAGCAAATTGGACAAAACTTAAAATTGCCCCAAAAAAATGGCATTTCTACCGAAGAAGCTTGGATTCTGCGAAAAGTGTAAAACACGTGTCAAATGATTTTTCATATAGATCCTTGGAAATGAATTTGAGCGCGAAATACCACCCACCAAATCTTTGACCTCCATTTCCACCAAGGAGGAATGCATTTTGTGAAAAGTGTGAAACACCCCTCAAATAAATTTGAACAAAGATCTTTGGAAATTCGTTTGGGGCCGATGATAAACAAAAAAGATTATTGCAAAAGTTTTTCGAATATTTTCCACACATGCGGGTGGAATTTCCCGAAACCCCGTCTTAACGTGCACGAAGATATGAAGATATCATAAGGTAACCACAGTGAACATTTCAGCTTACTAGCGCTCACAGTTTGGACTGTGCATTGGTCACCAGCAGTCAGTCAAGCAGTCAGTCAGGACAAACAGTTTTGCTATATGGAGATAATCTAAACTTCAAACTAGAGATGAAAAAAGGCGATGCCTTACCGTCTTAATCCGACCCACTGTTTTTTAGAATCCTTCTCAAAATCATTTTACTTTAAATACGTTATTTTTTTATTTTTTGCTATCAATATTAAACAATAACAAGAGGTTCTAGCCGGGAGCTTCCGACTAGGAGATACCCTGAACCCTCTTCTTCCGACAGGCGATAGGTATAAAATGAAAAATACTTGATATATATACAGTACGACCTTGCTCAACGCAACCTATTTAAATTTGGCCAATTGCGAAAACTGAGGTGGTTGCAAAAACCGAGGAAAATTAATTGTTGGCCAGGAGACCTATTTCCAAAAAGAGATGCCTTTGCTAACCATTAAAGTTAAAGTAAATCGAATAGTTCTGTGTTCAAAGCAAGGATTTCATTTTACTTTATTTATTTTTTGAAACATTGAGAAATTGTGGTCTGTATTTTTTTACAATTTTTACTATTCTGAACAGCTGTTTCTACAATGTTAATAAATCGGGTGTTGCAATTATCGAGGAGTTGCGTGTAGAAGCTACATGCCAAGTTTTGTGACTCTAGCTCATATCATTTGCCGAAATTGCTAAAAAAACAGGATCTCGATATCGATTTTTATCGATTACTTGGAAACGGGGCAAGTTATCGAAAATCGGAAACAAACTCGATCTGCGCGGGGACTAGGAGGACCTACAGCTAAAATTTCAATTTCCGTCTGTCCGTCCGTCCGTCTGTCCGTCCGTATGTATGTATGAACGCAAGGATCTCAGAACCTATAAGAGCTAGATACTTGAAATCGAGTTTGTTTTCGATATTCGATAACGTGCCCCGTTTCCAAGTAATCGATAAAAATCGATATCGAAATCCTGTTTATTAAGCAATTTCTGCAAATAATATGAGCTAGAGTCACCAAACTTGACATGTAGCTTCAAGAATAGTATATATATATATCAAGAATCTTTCCTTTTTTAGCTATCGCCTGTTGGAAGAAGAGGGTTCAGGGTATACCCTAGTCGAGAGCTCCCGACTAGAACCTCTTATTTGTTTGTAATAACCATATGATATTTTCAAAATTTTGGTTAATATACAGGATTTAATGTTATAATTGACAATAGT